GAAACAAGAGCTGATGTGGTCTATTCAATGAAGTTTTCTGAATCAGTGCCCCTAATAACCCCAAGAACGGGCCTAAAATCCAAGACGTCAAGAAAATATTGTTTCTGTTTCCTGTGATTTGTCCACAGTCTCAGAGACACCGCCCTCTCTGGAAATCAGGATCTTTGAACGACTGAAGACTGCCACCTTCAGGCCAAACTCTGTAAGGCAGCTGTATGATGTCCAAGTTCTGTATCTGATGGGGCATGAGTGTGTCAAATCGTCTAAGAGGGTTCTTCTAGCCCAGAAATTTATCTCATTTTGATGAAAAATAATCTAAGTATGTATTATACTAAGATATGCACCCTTGGATTGGCTTAAAAGTCCCCTAAAAGCCTACCTCTATTTGTAATTTAAGTATTTCATTTTGTTTCTCCTTTTCTTGAGTTCTTAACTTGGCATTTAACTCTGAAATTTCCATCTTCTTTTCCTCTATCAGTTCTTTGTGCTTTTCTTCATTTAATTCAACTGTATAAAACAAAACTAAATAGAGTTAATTCATTTGAATTTTAAAAACCTCTTAAAACCTTATGCTTCTTTAGTGTCTTAAACCAGCTATACAAAAGTAAAGTTTATGATGAAAACATTTATTTTAGAAAATTTTTTATGTATGAGATAACTTTCATACACTGTCGGTTCCAGCCTTCAACATTAATTATAGCTCAATGTAAAGAAAACACAAATTCTCACAACTAGACCAGTAGGTAACATCATGATTAACGGAGAAAAGACTGAAGTTGTCAAGGATTTTGTCTTGCTTGGATTCAGATTAATGTTCATGGAATGAGCAGTCAAGAGACCAAAAGGCAACTTGCACTAGGTGAATCTGCTGCACAATACCTCTTTAGAGTGCTGAAAAGCAAGGATATTACTTTGAGGACTAAGGTATTTTCCACTGCTCCTGTGCATGTGGCAGTTTGACATTGAATAAGGAAGACTGAAGAAGAATGGATGCGTTTGAATATGGTGCTGGAGAAGAATGTTGAAAGTGCCACCAGCTACCAAAAGCACAAAAATTCTGTCTTGGAGGAAGTACAGCCAGAATGCTCCTTAGAAGGGAGGGTGTGAGACTTCCTCTCCTGCACTTTTTCTGACATTGGCTTGTGGCAACCTGCTAACTTCACTAATAAGCCCCTTCATTGTGAGTATGGTTTGAGTTCTGTGTGACCACTGCAAGGGATTACTGAACCCAGCAGAGACGCAGACTGTTGTGGGAAGGCTGAGTGGTATCAGAATAGGGTAACGAAAGAGGTAGGGTGAAGGCATGTTAGACCTCTGCTTTGTGGTGGCTGCTCTCAGGTTGGGTGAAGTTGGATTCTCCTTCTCCCTTGTGTAGCTGGAGAAGGTCAGGTGTGGTCTCTGCTCCTTGTTGGCATTCACCTGATGTCAATGAGTTGTAGTAGTAGTTGCTGTAACCACAACTAATTAGAATGACTACTACTTTCTTAGATTTTAGTCCCTGTTTTCCTCACCTGGACTGATACAGGCTCTCTACCTTCTACATACTGTTCCCAAATCTATCATTCTAAAGCACACTTATAAATAAGACACCTCAAAACTTTTTATCATTTTCCATTTTTGTAGCCTGACAATTCAAGGGGTCAAAGAATATGGCCTTAGTTGCAGTCTTGGGTCTTTCTCTTGCTGACCTTAAAAAATAATTCGGCTTCATAAGCAGAAAATGAGCAATTCTTCTCTAATAGATTCTATGCGTCCCCTTTTGAATGCCAGGGCTGTTAGTTTCTCTTAGCCTAGAGATTCTTCTTCCCATCTTCCCCAGTCAATCATATTCAAACTTCAGGGCTTAGTATAAGGACTCTAGTGGAAAGGTTCTTTCTTAGTTTGGAATGATGCAAAGTTCAGAAGACTGTATTAAGCTATCTTTAACTTTAGAGCATTTGACTTTTATATGGTCTCAGTCTGTACCAATGAAGTGCCTGGAAGCTGCACTGCTGAAGATACAACACTGAATTATAATCCGTACTGAAAGCTGAAGTCCTTGGTCTTCATCCGTGAATATTTGAAGTCTTCCTTGCTTTCACCAAACACGGTTGTATCACTTGCATATTGTAGGTTGCTTCTGGGCCTTCCTCCAATGCTGATGCAGTATTCTTCTTCATATGGCTCAGTTTCTTGGATTATTGTTTAGCCCACAGATTAAATAAATATGGTGGAAGGATACAACCCTGACACACACCCTTCCTGGTTTTAAAGCACATAGTACTCCCTTGTTCTGTTTGAACGACAGCCTCTTAGCACAATGAAGTGTTCTGAAATTCCCTCTCTTCTCACTGTTACCTATAACTTGACTCGATTAGAAGATGGACACAAGGTATCAAAATTATGCTGGCCTTATAATGGAATGGAAGTTGTGACTTGTTTTTATGCTACTCTTCTGAAAGTGTTTGTGAATGATTAGCATTTCTCTCTGGGATGTTTAGTAAAACTTCAACAGAAATGCCATCTGAGCCTGCAATTGCCTTTGATAGTTTTAAATTATAGATTTATTTACAAATTTTAAAAGTTTATTGACATATAATTCTTACGCCATACAATTCAATGGCCTAAACATATTAAAATCATTGCCACAATCAATTTTAGAACATTTTTTTCATTCTTGTACTCGTTATTATTAGCTCCCCATTTATGCTCAACCTCTATTGCCATACCCTGAGAAGCTATTAATATAGTTACTGTCTCTATAGATTAACTATCCTGGATTTCATATAAAGAAAACTATATACCCCTCTCTCCAATGATACTAATAAAATAAAACACAGAAAAACCTCAATCTAAAAGAAAAGAATGAGTCAAAATGGAAAACAAATGGTAATATGATAAATTTTAACTTAACTGTATCTGCAATGGACTCATTTGAATTTTCTTCAGTTTTAACCTGAACTTATATGTAAGCGTGTGTTAGGCAAGGTTCTCTAGAGAAACAAAACCAGGACACTTATGATTATATATATATATGACGATAGGTTTATATAGCAAGAAGGAATATAACAGCTAATTAGTCCACACAGCAGTACAGAAGGCTCAGGTCAACTCATTTTCATGGACCAGTTAATATACTGAAGGTCCTTCAACTCATGAGCGCTCTTAGTCTAAGGCAGTGGTTTTCAACCTGTGGGTCACGACCCCTTTGGGGGTCAAATGACCCTTTCATGGGGGTCGCCCGATTCATAACAGTAGCAAAATTACAGTTATGAAGTAGCAACAAAAATAATTTTATGGTTGGGGAGTTGACTACAACATGAGGAACTGTATTAAAGGGTCGCAGCATTAGGAAGGTTGAGAACCACTGGTCTAAGGTCAAGGAAGCAGATAGCAGAATCTTCCCTTAGGCAAGACAAGCAGAGTCAGCCTGCAGGCAGCAGATGGCAGGGTGGGACAGCAATAACCAGTAGCCTTGGGAGGATAGTAAAGCAGGTCTCAAGTGATGTATAGCAAGGCCACATCATCCACAGGTTGGCTCAGCCCAGAGGTAGTGCAGCACTCGGTTGAAGCAAGGGACTAGGTCAAATAGCAGCACGCTGGTCTGATCACCAGAGAGAAAAGAGAGGGAGGCCTGCTTCACCAGGGAGAAAAGAGAGGGAAGGAGGCCGAGTCATTATCTCGGTTGCTCTCAAATCAACTTGCGACCTGATTAAATTCTGCCCACATATTTCTATGGAAGGCTCTTTAGGACAATAAACCTAACTATCAGAGTCTGTTTCACAGTCTGTTCCACAGTCAGCCCTTACCCTGATTCTAGTTGTTGATATTGACTTTCTCCATCGGGTCTACCCACAGATGTAATCAATTTCATTTCCATATGGAGAAGTCCATATGTATAGTCACTGTTTGTGTTGTTGGAACAAGGTATTTGCTAGGCACAAGTTGTTGGTTTTGCAAAATTCTATCATGCAATCAACAGCTTCATTTCCATCACCAAGTCCATATTTTCCAACTACTATTCTTTCCTCTTAGTTTCCTACTTTTGCATTCCAATTGCCAATAATTATCAGTGCATCCTGATTACATGCTTGATCAACTTTAGACTGAAGAGGTTGGTAGAATTCTTCAATTTCTTCACCACTAGCTTTAGTGGTTGGTACATACATTTGAATAATAGTTTATTGATTAGACTTCTTTGAAGGCAGATTGACATAAAATTATCACAGGCAGCACTGTACTTCACGAATGATTTTACAATGTCCTTTTTGACAATAAATGTAATGCCATTCTTCTTGATTGTGTCATTCCTAGCAGTAAATCATATGATTTTCTGCTTTCAAATGGCCAATACTAGCCCATTTCACCTCATTAATGCCTAGGATATTGAACTCTATATGGTCCATTTCATTTTTGACTACTTCCAATTTTCCTAGATTCATATGTGACACATTTCAAGTTTTAATCATTAGCAGATTGTTGCAGCTCTGTCTCCTCAACTTGAGTCATTCCCCAGCAGCAAATTAAGATCCAGAAGACTCCACTCACGCAGACTTTACCCCATTCATGTCACCATGGTTGTCTATATTTTGAGAAAGTAGCTCCTCATAACCACATTTTGAGTGCCCTCCAACTAGAGGCACCCAACCTCCTGCACTTTCTTGGGCAATATTCTACTTCCATTGGTTTAGCTTTCAATATTAGACAATATTTGAAGCTATGCACAAGGTTTTTAGCAGCTACTTCCTCTGAAGTGCAAAGCCGAGTCCTTCTTCTCTGTTCTTATTCTGTGAGCTCCACTGAAACATGTTCACTTTGGGTGATCCTATTAGTATTTAAAAAAACAGAGACATAGCTTCCAGCATCACAACAACACACAAACCATCACGGTATGAAGAGTGGAGTCTCAAAACTGGAAGAAGGCTTATTAACAACCTGCAGTATGCAGATGATACAACCTTGCTTGCTGAAAGTGAGGAGGACTTGAAGGACTTTCTGATGAAGATCAAGGAATGTAGTCTTCAATAGGATTATAATTCAATGTAAGGAAGACCAAAATCCTCATGACTGGACCAATAGGTAATATGATAAATGGAGAAAAGTTTGAAGTTGTCAAGAATTATTTTGTCTTACTTGGACCTACAATCAATGCTCACAGAAGCAGTGGTCAAGAGAGCAAAAGACAAGTCGTATTAGGGAAATATGCTGTACAAGACCTCTGTAAAGTGTTGGAAAGCAAGGATGTTACTTTGAGGACTATGGTGTGCCTTACCAGTCATAGCATTTTCAATTGCTTCCTTTGCATCTGAAAGTTAGACAATGACTAAGGAAGACCGTAGAATTGATGCATTTGAATTGTGGTGCTGGAAAAGAATACTGAAAATACCATGGACTGCTAAAAGGACAAACAAGTCTGTCTTGGAAGAAGTATGGCCAGAGTGCTCCTTAGAGGCAAGGATGGCAAGACTTGCTCTTTTGTATTTTGGACATATTGTCAGGAGAGAGCAGTCTCTGGAGGAGAACATCATGTTTGGTAAAGTAGAGAGGCAGCAAAAAAGAGGGAGCCCGTCAACAAGATGGGCTGACACTGTGGTTGTGACAATCATAGGAACAATTATGTGTATGGTGCAGAACCAAACATTATTTCATTCTGTTGTGCATTAGGTCACTATGCGTCAGAATAGACTCGATGGCATCTAACAACAACAACATACAGAAAGGTATAAAAACTTAAATGGAAATGTATAAAGGAAATGCTCATTCAAGAATACCTGCTGTTCTTAAAAACAGCTTATATGCGGGGTCTTAAAAACTTGTGAAAAGATTGAATTAAAATATAGTGGATTTTTCTCCATGAACTTTTTGAAGCCCCTTCATATATACATTCACATTATTTTATGAAGTCTAAGAAATTAAAAATAAAAACTTTACCTTGCGTTTGCATGTCTTGATAAAGTTTCTTTATTTCTGTCTTGTATCCTTCCTCTTTGATTTTCATTTCGTTAATAAGTTTGGCAATATTGTTCTCATATTCCTAAAGATTAGAAAATCTCCTAATTTTTCAATTGAAGTGCATGCATACAACTCTTTGATCAACTAGGAAGGTAAATTTTTTAACTTTCACATGTAATAATAAATCTTCATTGATTGAATAATCAGTTTTGAGAATAATAAATTTCTGTTTTAAGAGAAAAGAGACCATAAAGGGAGAAAATCTTTTTATCTTTGCATCAGTATACTCACTAAAATATAAAATATTTGGTTTAATTGTATGACTAAGTTCCACTACATTATTAACATTTGTCTAATTCTCAGTAGAATGTTAAATGAAACCATGTAAAGGGTTAGTTTTATGAGAAGGGTTTAGAAAGAATGGATTTAGGGTTGAGAGGTCTTGGACAGCTGCTGTGGCAGTTACATAATCTACTGTCAACTTGAATGAAGAGGCAGAGTCTAGCCTGTCAATCAGGTCATAGCCAATCAGGCCTTGGAGTGGGCATGGCCTTCTCCCGAAGATTCTGGGAACTCCTTTCTCTCTAGAGGCAGAACACACACTCTCCCTGTGAGACATTTCTATTGACAAGCCACATGGGGCTATGCTGATGAAGACAGAGCCCTGGAGCTGGAAGGGCCACATGGAGACCCCTTCCACAGCGCTTAGAGGCTTCCACTGCTACTGGATCCACAAGACTTTCCACCCATTGGCCTGTGTTCTTCCTGCCTTCTGCATCATTGCATGTGTTGTTGTATGTGTTGCGTGAGTCTGCAGAGGAATTTATAGACTAGTATCATCGGATGGATGGGCTAATGTCCGATATATAGACTTGATCTGGACTGAGCTGGGATGTTTTCTTAATATACAATTACTCGTTGATATAAAACTTTCTTATCCACATGAGTATCTATGAATTTGTTTCTCTAGTCAACTCAGACTAACAGGTGCTTTACATGAGCTTCTTTGGTTGATGAAGCATAGGTATGATTTATCATACCAAGACTAGGGAGAGGACGCTAATAGCGGTGGTGGGAGAGAAATCCTCCAAAATACATTTTAACCCTTTTCCCGAGGCATGATCCTACATCATAAAACCATTCAAAGGATTCAAACGTAAGCCAGATAAAAGGCATGAAGAATGAAAGCTAAATATGATAGTAGGAAAAAGGCTACAATGAAGGAAAAAGGAGATTGCATCCCAAACCCCTATAAGTTGAATGTATCATTGTGTCACTAAGAATGATTTAGATCAGGGATTATTAAGTTAGATCCAGTGGATAAGATTTTTAGGGCCCATTAACTTCCTGAAATTATATGCCAAATATTCTCTGTGTGTGTGTGTGTGTGTGTGTGTGTGTGTGTGGACTCACTCTAAACCATCTGTCATTGACTCATAGTGACCCTACAGGGCGGGGTTGAAATCCCTGTGTGGATTTCTTCCTCTTATCTTGCTTATATCTGAAGCCTTTGAGTGGTTTAATGACTGCTGGAAAAGGAGTGGAAAGCCACGTATGTCTTTGTCCTGCAGAGTGCCTGGTGGTTTAGAACTGTTGACCTTGCAATTAACAGCCCAACTCCTAACCATTATACTACCAGGGTGCCTATGTATGGAAACTTTATTATTTGTGTCCATTCTAAAGAAAGGTGGCCCAATAGAATTTAGAAAATATTAAACACATTATCATAAAATCGATTGCTTTGGCATAGTCAATGAAACACAAGTAAATATATTTTGGGTAGTCTCTACTTTGGATCAAGATCCACTTGACATCAGCAATGATATCCTTATTCCACATCCTCTTCCAAGTCTTTCCTGAACCTCTGGCAGTTCCCTGTCAATGTACTCCTTGCAACTAATACTGGATGATCTTCAACAAAATTTTACTTGCATGTGATATCAATTATATTGTTTTATAATTATTCTGTTGGGTCACTTTTCTTTGAAATGGGCACAAATATAGACCTCTTCCAGTCAGTTGGCCAAATTTCCTGGCTGAGATGAGTGAAGGCTTCCAGTGCTTCATCAGCTGCTAAAACATTTCAATTGGTATTTCATCCTGGACCCTTGTTTTTGGATAATTCTTTCAGTGGACCTTGAACTTCTTCCTTCAGTACCATCGGTTCTTGCACATATGCTACCTCTAGAAGTGGTGGAATGCCAATGAGTTCTTTTTGGTATAGTGACTATTATTTGCATCTTCTTTTGATGCTTCCTGTATCATTCAATATTTTGTTCATATAGTCTTTCAATATTGCAACTTGAGCCTTTAATTTTTTTCTTAAGTTCTTTTAGTTTAAGATATGCTGAGTGTGTTCTTCCCTTTGGGCTTTCTAACTCTAGGGCTGTACGCATTTCATTATAATATTCAACTTTGTCTTCTTGAGCTGCCCTTTGAAACTTTCTGTTCAGCTCTTTACTCATAATTTCTTCCATTAGCCTTAGCCACTCTACAATTAAGAGCAAGTTTCAGAGTCTCTTCTGACATCCACTTTGTTCTTTTCTTTCCTATCTTTTTAATGAACTTTTACATTCTTCATGAATGATGTCCTCCCTCAGCTCATCAGGTCTTCTGTCATTAGTGTTCAATGCAACAAATCTGTTCTTGAGATGTACTTGAAAGGTGGGATAGACTTAAGGATGTATTTTGGCTCTCGTGGACTTATTTGAATTTTCTTCAGCTTTGGCCTGAACTTACATGTGAGCAATTGATGGTCTCTTCGACAGTCAGCCCCAAGCCTGATTTTAGTGGTTGATGTTGAGCTTCTCCATCATCTTTTCCCACAGATGTAGCCAATTTGACTTCTCTTATTTCTTCTGAAGAAGTCCATGTGTACAGACACCATCTGTGTTGTTTAGAAAAGGTATTGGCTAGGAACAAGTTGGTTTTGCAAAATTCTATCACATGATCTCCAGCTTCATTTCTATAACCAAGATCATATTTTTCAATTACGGTTCCTTTATTTTTGTTTCTAATTTTTGCATCCCAATCATCAGTAATTGTCAATGCATTATTTATCAATGCATCTCAATTGCATGTTTGATCAATTTCTGACTAAAGACTTTGGTAGACTCTTCAACTTCTTTACCACTAGCGTTAGTGATTAGTGCATATATCTGAATAACAATTGTATTGATTGGATTTCTTTGAAGGTGGATAGAAACACCCCTTTTGACAATGAATGCAAAGTCATTCCTCATGATTGTGTCAGGTGGCCCCTTGAAACAACCCTGCTGGAAGTACACTTGAATCCAATGTCTATTGTTTCTTTGAGCTTTAGAAGCAAGATAAGGAAGGGGCAAGGAAACAGGAAAAGGAAAAAACGGATATTTAAGTCACCTCAAAATTGGCAATGAAAGGGTAAATTTTCCAAGAGCATAGTAGATGCTACTCCTTTCTCCCGAATATTACCTAGAAGTTCCAGGAAGGGTTACAGCACCAACCTGTGACTCTTCCAAGTCTTCAAAATACGAGCTAGATTGATTCTTTTGAATCATTCTTCAAGTAGAAGTCCTAAGGCTGATGCATATCTTTCTTGAGCTTCGCCAGTCTTAACTTTACCAGAGTTTGACATATTAATTCTTAGAAGTATGAGGAAAATTTAGCTTTGTAAACTTCCCAAAGGGGACTTGGATGAGAACCATTTATTGGGCTCTTTTTATGTTCCAAGCACTGTTTTATGTAATCTCCTATTGTTACTACATTATTCTTATGAGAGCAAAGAAAAAATAGCAAAGTGTAGTTGTCATTGGAAGAGAATTTGGGTCACATTTTTTGTTTCACATGAAATTCCTTTTTCATTTGGATCAAAAAACAAAATTTCAATAGATTAAGAAGTTATTAAGGAAAAAAAAAAGAAGTTATTAAGGAAATAGACACATGTACTTTATAATAGGAAAAGTTCAAAAGTGTTAATCCACATGCTGTAGTAAGAAGTCTGCTAACACTATTAAAAAATATGTAGCAAAATGCCTGAAACTTTTATTTTTCTAGAAAGAAAGGCAATTCAAGTAATTTATTAGTGTACTATTTTCTATATAAAGACTGGGGGCTAAAAACTTCTATTTCCTTAAAAATAAACATTAATTTATTAAAAGATTCTGACATATACATTTTATGCATGTACTTATAGGTGTACATATCATAATCTACAAGTTTTGTTGTGTTCATTAATGAAAATTACCTCTTTAGTTTTAATTGGATAAGTCAAATGCTGTGTTGGGACTTGTTTAAATATAGTGACATATAAACTCACCTTTTTGTGAGATTGTAGTTTCTCTTTCATAAGATCAGCATTCTTTTTAAGTTGTTCATTTTCAGCTGTGTGGAAACCACCAATGAGCATCATAAAATTAGAGCATTTTCAATTAAAATGTAAATGTTTCACACTTCAAGCTTCCATTCATGTTTGCATTCAGTAAAAATGCATACAATAGGCACTTACTGTACATCAGACATAATTTCAGCTATAGAATTCATTTCAAATGATAGACCATATATTGGGGCATAAAATAAATTAGAATAAGTAAAATCAATTAGAATAAATTTAAAAGGATTGAAATCATAAAGACCATATTACCTGGATAAAATATATGTTTTCTGGACAAAATGTATTTAAATCAGAAATCAATAGCATAAAGATATCTAGACACTTTCCATATATTTAGAAATGCAGAGTAGAGATCTGAGAATGCTTAAGAGTGATAATAGTAAGAGCAAAATAAAATTAATTACATGCAACTAAAAGAAGTCTTAGAAGAAAATTTATCACTCTAAATGCTTACATTAGAGACAAAAATGTTTGAACACACACCCTGGCCCACCAAGGACAAAATTCCTTCTCAGAGCAGCCAGTGCACAGAGAGGATCACAGGGCCGGGCCCATCAGGAGACACGATGACGTGTTCCTCACTCTCACACAGCGCTAATGGGGACAGCCCTGGGGACATGGTGTGGGAGATGTGCCCAATTCCACACCACTGCACTGGGGTGAACACTAAGGATGTACGGCAGAGTAGCAAGGGGACCAAAGCAAGGGGTCCCCGAGGAATGCCACAGGTGGACTTTGGGGCCAGGGCATGGCACTCTAGCGGACTCAATTGGCAAACACTAAAAAAGGTCAATGGAAAAAAAAAAAAAGTCAATGGAGAGACCTGGAACCTTTTGAGGGCTCAGGTTTTGCTGTTGGTCTTTCTTCCTTTGTTTTGTTGTATTAGCTGTTATTGATTTATTTTTTGTCTTCTTTTGTTTTGTTTTGCCCTGCTTGTTTTTGCATGCATTATTGTCTATGCATGTCTCTTTGGACAAGATGGGTGGGATGAACAATCCGGAGGAGAGAACAATGGGACAGACAGTTCAGGGGGGACATGGGAGAGGGAGAGATGGGGGAAAAGGACGTGGGTGCCCACAAACCCAAGGACAAGGTTAGAATAAGTGATCTAAAATTGATGGCGAGGAGGGAATAGAATGCTTGGTGGGGAGCAGGGGAGGCTCTATCAAAGGAAATGTAGCCGAGAGGAATTACCAAAACCCAAATGAAGCGGGTTAGTGGGAATGATAGTAGGATGGGAGGAAAATGAAAGGAAATAGAGGAAAGAACTGGGAGGCATAGACGCTTATAGAGGTCTAAATATAGGCAGGTATAGATGTAAATACATTTATATACAATGACGGGGAATAGAACTATGCACATATATTTATTTTTAAAGTATTGGGCCTCTATTCAAGTACTCCCTCAATGCAAGAACAGTTTGTTCTACTAACATGGCACTTTGTGATGTTCACCTTCCCTGACAAAATGGGTGCATAAGCAAATGTGGTGAAGAAAGCTGATGGTGCCCAGCTTTCAAAAGATATAGTGTCTGGAGTCTTAAAGACTTGAGGTTAAACATGCACTCTTCTAGCTGAGAAGCTACAAAGCCCACATAGAAGAAGCACGCTAGCCTGTGTGATCATGAGGTGTCAATGGGATCAGGTACCAGGCATCAGAGACCCAAAACAAAACAAACAAACAAACAAACA